CACAGAATGAAAATCAGAGATGATCAGCAGCAGCTCATTAATGCCTCCAGATGCCAGTGCAGGGTGGTGTGGCGAATCCACTTACCCAAAAAAATGGATCGGACATCAGTTGTAGAAACGATAGTCTTTATATAAGGCTTCAAAAAGGGGAATGTACAACAAATAAACTTCTCGACATCAGAGCAACATAATGGCTTCCCGAAACTTTCTTTGCTAGCTAAAACCCGGAGTAACTTTCGTCTACCACAAAGGATTCTGGGAAACACAGTTTTCTAATGAAAATACCTGTTAAATGCTCCCCTTTAGCAGAAAATTAAATCTATAATTAACAGCTCTCACTAAACATGTGACTAACACTTAAATCACTTACAAAATAACCAAAATGCTGTTATCAAACAATAAACTGCAATAAAGTTACAACACAGGGTGCTTTCGTCTTAGTTTTCAGCTTGTTTTCCATAAGACGAGGCTGCCTGATGTTTCCAATCCAGTACTGGTTTCTGATGTTGAGTCTGTCATGTTAAATATAGGTTGAACCCACTTTAAAACCATTTCTTATTTATTATATTGACGTGTTGAGAGATACTTTCAAGTGTATCTAGTAACTTTACCCACGCAACATGTACATTATAGAAAATGTTTGGCAGGAATTTGACTTTTTTTTAAGGGAAACTTCTTAATGTACAATTTAACAAACACAAAAAAAGCTGAGATTTAAATGTAAATATAAGCAGAATCCAGTGATTTGTCATAACACACAGAAAGTTATGGTAAAAAATAATTCCCATATAAAGTAAATGGTTTACGGTTTGGTTTATGAAACAAGTCTTTTAGAAGTAAAGTTGGGGAAAGGTCCCAGACTTTGAGAGGCTGTGTGGGCACATAGTTCAACAGTTTAAAAATAATATTTCTACATGCACAACTGTAAAGTATTGGCTGGTTTTATAATATATGTTACAGAATATCAGTAAAAGAATCAGAGAATCTTGAGCAGTGTCTGTACGCACGGCACAAAAAACCTGTATCGAACATTGATGATGTTCAGATGCTGAGACAGGACTGCACTGAAAGCAGACACGACTCTGCTGTGGAGAACACGGCATCACACAACAAAGACGAAAGCAATCACATGAAGATGCCAGCTTCTCTGGGCCTGGACTCTTTCACTTCTGTCAGTCTCCTGTCGCCTCTGTCACACTTGCCCCACTGAATGATATATCTGTATATATGTGTGAGTAATGTTTGATTTCATCCAGATGTTTTGCGTATTTCAGCAAGACAGTCGCAGACCTCATTCTGACCTGTGTGGTAGCATCGTGGCTCTGTGTCGAGTCCTAACATGATATATATGCTTATATAGAAACATTTTGGCCATTATGAAAAGCTTTAAGCTGCTGAGCAGGTAAAATCTGGAAAATCTGTCCTGGTAAAATAAAATTATTAAAATCTTCCTGGCATGAGGTCGACATTTATATTTAACAGAATCTCTTATATATGTTCAGAGGCCGAATTATAACCTAATTTGATTTAAATGACAGTTTTTCACAGGTTTGTATCATAAATAATGCTTCAGTAAATTCATTTTCTCATTTTGTTTTCTATGTAGAACGACACAAATATCTCCATCTTTTTTATGAGAAGCCAACAGTTAGGACAGCAGGTTTCTCTGAGAAATCAGTCTAAGGAGCTGAGACACAAAAACAAGTTTCTTCTTTTTAAGTCGTGACCTAGATGACTGAGAACCTTCAGACGTATCTGAGACATCAGGTTCAACAGGAAGTCAAAGTGCTGATTTGCACCATAGTCATGGTTGCTTAAAGCTTCGGTCAGAGCAGTGATGGCTCTGCAGCTCCTGTAAAATCAAACATCATTAGATGAAATGTGATGAGTGAAGATAATGAATAATATAGAAAAATGGAGTGAGGAGCATGAAATACAGGATTATGTTCACGCTCCTTTAAACTGAGACAGCACGACCGATCA